GAAGTAGAAAACCCTTTTTCCAATAGCGTCCCCTTTTCGATAAACGGCATTTCTCTAAACTGAGGCTCTGCTTTCTCTAAACTGTGCTTCGATAAAACGTGCCCGTTCTCTAAAACGTGCTTCGACGAAATGGCATTCTATCAACCGTAGTAAATCCTAAATCCCCAGCTAAAATTCCCATTAGATCCAATTGGAATTTTAACTGGTTTTAACCGGAATCGATTGGTTTTAGTGGGTTCCAATCAGCACATTGGCCGATGGGTCTCATCAATTGGAATTTATTAATTCGGAGGCATCCGGTTTAGAGAAGCTCGTTTTAGCGAACGCCGTTTTACCGACCCCGGTTTATCGAATCCCTTGAGAACCCAGTTTAGAGAAGATGGCGATGAGCTTCCCTTTAGCAAATTCGGCTGCCATTTGGCAGGGATAAATTGGTTTTCTGAAAACCCAACTGGTACCAATTTTAAATTCCAATTGGACTGTAATGGGAATTCTCAACTGCCCAGGTAGCACAAAACATTATAATAACATTATTTTTTTGTTGTGTAAGTTGAAATAACGTTTTGTGTTAGGTGTAAATGTTACGGCAACGTTCAAATAAAACACTCAACGTTTTAGGTATGTTATCAATGTTGGTGTAACATTCAAATTAAACATATAACGATAATGTTGTGTACGACACATTATAACAACATTCAATACATAACTGTAAAGCAATGTTGTGAGCACTAACATTAATGTAACATTTAGTAACATTATGCTCCTAACATTATTCTGAAGTTTACAATGAAACATAGTAACAGTGAATGGAGAACCATGAAATAATGTTGCAAGAAGTAACACTGAAATAACATTTTAACATATATTTCCAATGTCATTTTGAAGCTTACAAGGAAACATAACATTCAATGCAAAATAGTAAATAAATGTTAAATAGTAATACTGAAATAATGTATTGGTTTGATCACATATCTGTTTTTCAAACTTCAAATAATTGTTGCAAATACTTATATTCAAGAAATTGTTTGACAATATTGTTTTTAACATTATTTTGAAGTTCACAATGAAACACAACATGCAGTAACAAGTTATTTATTGGTGTAACATTTTGAAAAGAGTAACATTTTTGCAAATGTTGTAAGAAAATGTAGTACACTATTTTAGTTTCCGATTTTATTGAAATGTAGCGTGAAGGTACAAAAAAATGGCAAGCGAAATGAAAATATATGCTATGATACTTTTTTGCATTTCTTGTCTTTTGCCCTATAAGGATGGAAGCATTTTGATTAAGCTTTTCTGTAGCAGCTGCTAACTCCAAACAATGGAAAATCTTGGATACCTATATGTAGAGCCCTGCATATCCGCGGATTACCTGTGGATATCTGCAGTAAACGGGCGGATGCGGATGAAAATTAAACAAATTTTGGCAGATTGCAGATTGGATGGCAGAGGCTGCGAATATCAGCGGATACGGATTTAAATTTTTGCCCAGCGGCATTCAGTTCGTCGACTGACGTCTCATCTACAAATCGTTTCGTCGAGATGAAACGTTTGATCGAAAGGCTTCTCCTGTTCGTTTCATCGAAAAACCTGAGATGTTTTGTTGCACACAACCTTGCTATTTTTGTAACAAACTTGTTGAGTCTCGCCTGGATTACAGGGGAGAGGGGGGCATGGTTTGGTTAAGCTCGCTAGCTTTTAGCAGCTTGGTGAAGAAATGCGTTGTCGACAAAACATTGCAGCGGCATGTGCCCACAAAACGTACAGCGTCGATGAACCGTTTGTCCATGAAAAGTTGTCCACCGATACATATTTCCACAAAAACGCGTTTCGAAGAAACAATAGGGATCCTAAGAAAGATCTGATTCTCACTGAAGATCGCTTCAGTTAGTGTGTTTCCTCTCGTCAAAAATGCTACCTTTAAAAAAAGTAAAGATTGCAGGGCATCAATTGTCCCAAGAAAGCTAGCACATTGGCAGGGAAAGAGCTGTAACTTTTTCTGGGCAAAGAAAACTTCAAACGTACAAGTCACAAGGAAGTAAAGAAACGTCCCCCTCTTCGCAAAGAGTAGTGTGGTCATGATTAAAAACAAAAAGTGCCTCGACAGCGAGTGCGACCCTGTGGCACCACGGTTTGTAAAGTTTCAGAGTCAACAGCGAACTTGCATAGGCAGACGGTAAACTGCCTCTGTGTTTCTTTTTTGTATGCTTAGAGCCCTAGCCAAAACGCCTGGTAGTTCATGTTCGTCCAATTACGACGCCAGTGCGTCGTAGCCGGACTAATATGAACCTCTATTACTTTTTAATTGTTTAACAGAACTGTAATGTCATATTTAGTATGCCCTTTTTTAACTTTTATCCTTCAAAAGTATGCGTCCGCATAAAATAGGTGTTACAAAGCAAAAAAAAAAAAAAAACATATATAACCTTTTTGTGCGCTCCTTCTGGGCAGAGTGTCGCGGATTCCTAGGATGATCACATAACTGAGATGATTTTTCCTAATCGCTTTTAATATAAATCCGATGAAACTGATAATGATAAAATGACACTTCCTTTGAATGGCGAGCCAGATTTCTTTGGTACAAAGATAAGCAAACAGCTTAAAAAGTGTCATTTCTATTTTACAATGAATGCCTGGATTGTGAGTCGGATCTGGTTCCACATTTTGCGGATGCGGTTCGGATACGGATACAATAATGTAAAAAGTATGCGGATACAGTTTGGATACAAAGTATGCAGATGCAGATCGGATACGGATACAATAATGTAAAAAGTTTGCGGATACGGTTCGAATACAAAGTCTGCAGATAATTAAACTGTTATCCACGCAGGGCTCTACCTATATGTAAGATCTAAATGAAATGCAGCGTAAAGATACAAAAAAATGGCAAGGAAAATTAAAATATGTGCTATGCTACTTTTTTGAAAGAAAGACAGCCACAAATAGTATGTGCTTGTTTCACTTGTTTTATGTTTCACATTAATAGATTCACTTCCCTTTACCAGGAAGGCCTGAGGGAAGAGGAGGTGATTATATAGACTACGGAGCTTGTGGATAAGTGAAGTGATGATGTGTATCACGAAAGCGCTTTCATCCCTTCTTCATAAACAGTCAGTCTCTCCGCTTGCCAGCTTGATCCTGCTAACGTTTCCCTTGCCCTCTTGAAGTGACCTGCATCACCCTACGATTTACTCCAGAGGTGCCCGAAGGTGGTGGATTAATTACTGAAGTATAGAAACATGTGCCTCTTTAAATAAAAGATTTTTTTTCCTATGAAAATTTTTTTGTCATGCTTTGTTTTTCTAAATGATCAAAAATGAATCTGGGCATTTCTGGTGTTTATTACGACTAAATAAAGAGTGGGATGGGAAGGGAATGAAATTGGCAAACATAATACTTGTTTCATTTGGCCAGAATGAATGTCTGTCCCAAAATAATTAGTTTTTTTTCTTTTCCCTTATTTGAATTAGATAGAAGTATGATATATTTACTGCACTATGTAGGGAATGTACACATGTGTGCTGGTACTGTGGGGAGGCTGGCATCCATGCAACTATGTGTTTGAGGTTCCTTCGCCGTTCACATGTGAACTGAGACAGTACAATCAGGGCAACTCCTGCCCCTCTCGATGAGATCCTGTCTTTCCGGAAGATGCTAAACTTTTGGGTGTCAGCAATTTGTCCTTCGAATATTGTATCATCCAACCAGGTTTCTGAGACCCCAAAGATTGTGTTCGGCGAAGTTTCAAACAAGACAACGAGGTCCGAGTTTGTTCTTGATGGATAGAGCGTTTGTATACCGGATGCCGATGTGTCGCCGCTTCCTCGGTGCGGGAGGAGTACGTCGGTTACTAGCGTCACTCCGTTTTGTGTCCCGGGCGATGGGCCTGGCAGTTTCGTGGGGGGAAGGGGGGGGGGGGGGGCACGACACCGGTGGATATGGGTGCGGGGTGCGAGTCATCGGAGGGAGGAAGCTGGCATGAGCCACAAAACCAGTGCCCGGCGAGGAGGCCAAGCATCGGTAGGCGAGTAGCGACAGCCCTTCACACTTCCCATGGAGCCACCAATCACACAGGTCACATTTTAGGGCGGCCACGTTGTTGTAAACCGCTTTCTCGCAGCTCGGGGAGGTTGGCGACGGCCTGGGATTTCGATAGATGTTCCCGGCAATCAGCATGAGTCATGCAATCGGCGCAGTCGTCCAGGCAGGCCTAACCGCGATGAAGCGGATGTCCGCACTTTCAGAAGTGAGAGAAGCCGCCGCGCGGAGTTGAGAAGCATTGTGCACCTCATCGGAGTGTTCCCGGAGCTCGACTCTCTGTAGAGAGGCGACCAGCAGAAGTTGCAACCATGTCCGCAAGCACGTCATCCCTGAAGACTATAATTTTGCTGAAAGGTTCCACCACCGTATTACACATATGTGCGAAATCCCGTCAAATATGCTGAGAAACTGTTTGATGCGGTCTCTCTAAAGAGCCAACGAAACGTTGTAAATCTCTTAGTACAAACACAAAACACGGCAGAGACGAAAAGGGTACCTTTGAACTTGAAGCAAGCCCATGGTCAACACACGCACTGCACCGCACAAAAAGACCATCCGTGTGCGCTACTTTTAGAGCGTTAACAAACAAAGCAAGGCGTAAATGAGTAAGAATCGTTCCGTAGAACCCGTAGAACCAGATCACAACAGCCGCCATCACAACCCTAAATATACAAACACAGTGCTGCTAGACTTCTTTTCTTTGGTTTTGTGAGTTTGTCGGGTGTGTAAATAAGTAAAGTCTGATGAGTAAATTTATTAATACTATACACTACAGATATTTTCTTCTTGATGTGTTCTACTTTTAAGTCACAAAATAAAATATAATATAATTTATTAACTACAAAATGCATACACGGTTGGTTTAGCCTATTTTAGACCAATGGCTTAGGTTGGCAACATACGTTCCCGCCGGTTCAAGTGGTTCAAGTATGGTTTAAGTTTGGTTTAAGCAGTCTAAGTTTAAGTTTGTATCGCGGCTCGCACAATTGTGGCTCGCACGGTTCTGACCTGACAACCGTGGCTCTGAAACATCGTGAAGACAAGTTCTAGTAGTTACGGTTCGAAGTGCCTAACGGTCAGGCTGCGTAATCCCACTGTGGCACCGACGCACCTGCGTACCCTGCGTGAAACGTAAGTAGCGGTACCTCATTTCCTTTAGTGATGCTGCTCACTTGCTTAACCGACGGGATCTCGCATATTACGTTTGTGGGTATTCCTGTCTCGGGTACCCGAAGTCGGGACGGCTCCTTTGGAGCCTTTGGATCCTTTGGAGGTCGATATCTGACCTCAACAATTCCGTCTAGGACCGGAATTCGGTGCCGGTCCTAGACGGAATTCAAGGCGGTGCGTTGTAAGTGGCAGAGCTTCGCTTTAGGGTGCCCATTATTACCTAAACCTCGCACATGCTCGTGAATGTGCGAGGCTGGTTAGGTAATAATAGACAAGAGTAATTATTTGAGGGCTCTACAGTGATTATTATTTTGAAGAGCGAAGCGCTGCCACTATGACCCGGACGAAATCCGGACAAAATTTTCTAGCGCAACCAATGACTATGATAAGTGGGCAACCATGTTCGCCGATTGCGCGCGATTTCGGTTACGCCAGACTGCGCGACTCGCGATGCATGATATCCCTTTGTGATTGAACGGTGCTAAGAGGAAACGATCTCCTGGTTCGTAAAATGAAGCGACAGAGGCGAGCATTTGATGACGTGTGCGACCGACAGAAGAAAAGAATTATTGCCGAAAACGTGCGCGACCATCTTGCGGACATTTTTTCTAAGTCTGCTCCGGACGAGAGCGATGGAAATTCTGCGGTTGACGGATCAGACGACAGCAGTGACGGAGCCAGGGAGGGTCTGAGCGCACCGCAAGTCGACGATCCCAGAGATCCTTGCGCGAGCACATCAGCTTCCGAAGAAACTGAAACTCATTTGCCAATCTCAAGTGCAGATGAGTTTACTTTGGCAAGCGAGCTGGCCACCTGGGCACGTGAGACCAAAGCCTGCGCATCCCATCTTAGCAAGCTTTTAAAGATATTGAAGAAGTATCACCCGGAGCTGCCTAGTGACGCAAGAAGCCTAATGGGGACACCAAGATCTTGCAATGTGAAAAACATGGGAGCGTCCGGCCTCTACCACTATTTCGGAATCGAATCGTCACTAAAACGAATGATGAGCTCAGGCAGCATCACTGGAGACACCATTTCGTTGCTCATCAATGTTGATGGCCTGCCTATAGCGAAAAGTTCCAGCAAGCAGTTCTGGCCCATTCTTGCATCTGTCGTCGAAAGCTGCGATCCTGAACCTTTCGTCATAGCTCTGTTTGTTGGAGACAAGAAGCCGGAGAACTTGGATGACTACCTTACCGATTTCATTTCGGAGTTAAGCACATTGCTGGAAGAACACGTGACCGAGGGCGGAAAGGAGTGCGTAGTTCGAGTGCATGCGTTCATTTGCGATGCGCCCGCAAGGGCATTTCTGAAGTGCATCAAGGGCCATGGGGGATACTTCAGTTGTGAAAAGTGCACCCAAGAAGGCACCTTCTCTGAAAGCTGCCGGAAAGTAATTCTTCCAGAAGTCAGCAGCCCCCTACGAACAGACGAGTCGTTTCGAAAGCAGGATCAGGAAGGGCACCATCATCGACAGTCCCCATTGGTCGAGCTACAGATTGGCATGGTAAGCCAATTTCCCCTCGACTATATGCATTTAGTCTGCCTAGGCGTTATGCGGAGGCTTCTACTTCACTATTGGGTGCGGGGACGACCTCATCGATCAAAGCTCCCACCACGTGCACAGACTAGCATCTCAACAATGCTCATGAAACTCCAGAGACACACCCCTCGGGAGATGGCTCGGAAGCCCCGGAGTCTTCATGAATTAGAGAGATGGAAGGCCACTGAGCTACGAAACTTCCTCTTGTACTTCGGTCCTGCGGTTCTAAAAGACCACATGGAGAAGCGCTACTACCAGCACTTTCTCAAACTGAGCATTGCAGTGTCAATCCTGTCAAGCCCACGACTCTGCCATGAGGAGATTGATTCTGCAGAGAAGCTGCTTGAAGAGTTTGTTTCTGATGCTGGGGACCTGTACGGTGAAGGCATTTACGTGTACAACATACATTCTCTGCTGCATCTTACTGCTGATGTGCGGAGGTTCGGTCACCTTGACTCCTTCTCTGCGTTCCGGTTTGAGAACTTTCTGGGTCAACTGAAGCGAGATTTGAAGTCACCAAATCGACCATTACAACAGATTGTAAAACGCTTAGAAGAGCGCAGTCATGCTGACTTGCATCCTAGAATACCACCGAAGCAGCAGGCATTGTTGCAAAAGCCGCATAATGCCGGACCAGCACCTCCAGGATTTAAGGGAGAGCAGTATCACAAGCTAGTTCTTCAAGGCATGGTTCTGGAAGTGAACCTACCAGACTCATGTTTTCTGATGGAAGATGGAAATGTAGTCGTCGCAACAAATGTTGTGTCCCGTGATGGAGAGATCAAGATCTGTGGCCAGTTTTTCAAGAGATTAACAAACTTCTATGCCGGCATTGTTGACACAACTGGACTGTGTACTTTCAGGGCTTCTCAGGTTTCGTCTGCAAATGCTTTGTGGACTGTTGAACAGGTCAAATCAAAGTGCTGCTGGCTTCCTTGTGGGGGTGAATTTTTGGTTAAGCCACTCTTGCACACAGGATAGCTCAGATAAGCAATATCTGCCGTAAATGTGCTCTCACTTATAGTGTTGTTTTAATGAGTATATAATCATCACGAATAAAAATAAAGTGTGTGTGCTAATGTCTTTGGCATAAATTATGTCTTTATGCTAATAACTGCTAGGGGATTTTTAAGGACATTTCTTCTGATTATAAGGCATCTGTAGGTTGAAAATTGAGGGATTAGAAAAAAGCTGCTATAAATAGAACTGTTTATATGATGGAAAGACCAAAATAGAAAAGCTGTAAGGTGAATGTCTAATAAAAGGTTAGTTTTCTTTTGCTCATGATGTGTGCTCACTACTTTAGCTCTTTAAATGAATGATAATGTGATTATCCTTTGACTTGGTGATTACACGTAACTATTGTCCCAACTGATAGATATCCCAGCTAAGATGCCGCAAGTATAAAAAGACTGAACACTCTACGCCAGAGGTACACAACCTTTTCGGGACTGCGAACCCCCAAAGCTTCTGAGTGCCCTCCGGCGACCCCCGCCTTAACTATTTTTGGAGCTCTCCGAGGCTCTGTAGCCGCCAGACATTTCCCCACAACCTCCAGTCTGTGCACCTCTGCTCTACACAAGTGAAAACCACTATGTTGTTAGCAGGTGTCTTGCGAAACGCAAGAAAGACTTGGCAAACTTTTAAATATCAATTTTAAGACCAGCAGGATCAAGGTGTCAACTGGCAGGCTTTAGAAGTCTTGAGAAACAGCCAACTGGGGTGTTTTGAACACAATACACTTTGTTTGCTTCCTTTTCTAGCAAAGAAAGAAAGCCCATGAAATATAGGGTGGTTCAAGCCACCAGGCTCGATCTGAAATGGACCGTAAAAATCAATGCCTGCACGTAACAATCTAAACTTTTCGTCAGCGGTGTATTTCACAGGTCGGTTTTTTCTTGTAAAATTATAAAGCGTAGTTCTCGTTCTGTAAAAAATAAGGCCAAGAAACTTGCCAGGGTCTACGGCGGGCAGCGACGTAAACGAGAGGGGTTCATTAGCGGGATGTGTTTGGCATTCGTATCGATAGATGGCGTCGGGAGCAGCCTCCGAAGTTGCAGCCGACCAGTGAAAGAAAGCAGACGACACGCAGACGAAATCCGTTGACAGCAAAAGCGCCACCGTTATACAGACACGTTTTTTTTACTCTAAGTTTTGCTTTTATTGTCCGCATTTATTTTTTAACCGAAGGTACATTTCAAAAAGATTATGCCCATTTTAACAAACCACGGTGGTCACGAGCCGTTGCGATAAGGAGGGAGCGCCATCTATCAATACAAATGCCAAACACATCATGAGTTTTCTTTTGTTTTAGTTTTAGTAATTTTCACCTTCATAAACCACGTACACAGCATTCATATTTTATTTGGTTTCATCAATATTCGATTCATGTTTGATTTGGTTACATCACTATTTGCACACCCCTAATCTTGTTACTTCATAAAACTTGTAGGTATGCTCTTTACTGACGGTCTCAAATTGAATTTTCTAGATGTTCTCGGTCGCCCATTTTATGAAGACTGATGACGTGGCCGTGGTTCCAACACGCTGGATTAAGAACGGGACAGCTCCCTGGCCACCGTTTAAAAATACTGCAAAAGTGAACAGTGCAGTGAGGGACAGAACGGAGCCAGGCAAAGACTGGCCAAAATTTGCCTGCAGGGTCATGTCATATACAGGTAAGCTCCGCCCTGAACGTCATTAGTTTTTTTTTTTCATTCTGAAGAGAGCACTGCTCTATTGAAAGTTATTACAATCCACACTTTCGCAGAATCTACAAAAGAGAAGGGGGTTTGGTTGTGAAATAATTCTTAAAGTACATATCATATCTGACTCCCTTTTTTTAGTTACTATGGTAACGGTACTATAGACCTCCCACTGCCTATGTTAATAGGACACATTGGTAACAGCTTGATAGCTACAAAAAGGCAGCATATGCTTCATTAGCAGAAGCTACGTACAGCTTAGACAAAACTCAGCAAAATATAATGCCTCACATTCAACGCACATTTTTTATTAATTCATTATCTACATAACATCTGACTTGCAGACAGTTACGAAGTTGCCCGCAAGAGGTCCATAAAGGCGGAGGAAGAGTCCGACCTTACATCGGAAGCAGAGACATCGCAAAAAAGAATACGGCGACCTCCGACATTTTTCGATGACTACCTCACTGACAGCAGCGATGAGGAGGGAGTAACTGAAGAACCACCTCCAGAAGGTGACATTGAATTTCTCGCTGAGCCCCCACCGCCACCACCTCTTCAAAGAAAAAGTGGAGCACATTGTGGAGGAGCAGGCCAAACTGATGGTGGCAAGTCCTTTTTTCTTACACGTGTTTTGAAGGAAATGGTTTACATGAACAAATACTAGTGATAAAGTGAAATGCACAAGGTAATCAAAACAAAACTACAGATCATGTATTTCACACTTCGAATGTTTGTAATCTAGAGTTGAGAAAAGGCCTTCCTAGACCCACGTGCAGGCTGTTATGTACACAGTGCGACACTTTTAGCATGAACATGACATCGGCGCTTTTTTGTGCTTTGCTCAAGCTGTGAAACCCTTATGGGCCCTTTTCACCGCATTAGTAATTTTGGTGATATCACCTGATTTGTGTAAGTAAAGCGAGTAAACCCGACGATGTTGTGTTTGTGCTAACAGCGTCGCATAGTGTACAGTATGGGCATGGTATAGATCAGGGGTGGGCAAACCGCGGCTCGCGAGCCGCATGCGGCTCTTTGCTGGTCCAAGTGCGGCTCGCGGATCCCTCGTAAGAGGACTCCCCCCCCCCCTTCGCCCCTTTCCGCGTTTCCCCAAGAAAAAAAAGAAGAAAGGATTCCAGAATAAAGCACACTGCAGCTTGCAGTTTGACAGCCTTGTACTCCCATCCAAGGAAATACGCAACTGTGACATAGCAGTTCAACTGCTCATCCTTGTTATTACTTATGCATTGCTTGTGGTTTTTCAGATGACTTGGTGTTGCCCAAAGGAAGACCAAAAAGTGCATCTTCTTTGAACTGCTCTGCTGAACCTTCACGCAATGGCAAGTATATTTCGTGACTGACAGAAGAGTTAGGATGTATGTGCACTTTTGACACATGAACCTGTAAAAAGTAACTTCACTTAGTTACAAGTTTCTGGAAAATGTACCTAAAATACAGCAGGGGTGGAATAGCTGTACCATTTGCGCCAGACGCATATGTCTGCGCCATCCTGAAACATGTTGTGGAAACTGCGCCACAGCCAATACCTCGTGCCATTATGCACCAAAAGAATTGTATTTTGTCTTGGTTCCGGTTTTTATCGACCCGATTCGCAACAATGAGCGCATTTAGCTTGGTCGGCCTTGCACTCCTTTGCTCTGTTTATTCTCCCTGTGTATCTCGAGTCAGAAGCGCACGAAAAAAATTGGGGGTCAGACTCCAAGCGCTACACCACCTGCTTCTGGATTGTTATCCTTCAACCATAAGCGGTTAAAGGGCAACTCCGCTCAATTCCGAAGATTTCGGGATAATGAGTGATTTCGAATTAAAAAGCCCTAGTAAAACACACTACGTTGTTTGCTTTGCGAAAAGTGGGCTATATATTTTTAAATCTAATTTTAAACACGAGCTGAAATCGAAACCGAAACTTCGGCTCTGCCCGGCAACATTGGCCTCGGGCCGCCAAGTACATGGCCATCACGTGGTACGAGATGTCACGTGATCCTCGGCCCAACGACGGGCGGGATTGGGGCGGGCGTGTGGCAGGCGCGAGTGTCGTCTGCACCGCACTCTTCGCCACGTTTTGGTGTCTACGGCATTCGACGACGTCTGCACAACTGCGGCATAAGTCTGCGCACATGGTGTCCGTGGTGTGGATGAAACTCCGAGAGACAATAATCACAATCGGTGAGACGACGATGGCGGTTGTGACGCGGAAGACGGCGGTAACGGCGGGCGGCCGGACGGCTCCCAAGAAACGCGCTGCGCGGGCGCGTTACACCAATCATGTGGACACCGCTGAGCGCCGAGAGGCAACGTTGCTGACGTCATGCGCTACGCTCGCGCGGAGAAGTGAAAACAAGCAAAAGGGGGCCATGATAATGACGTTTAGCTCAATGTTGGCTCCGCCCATGCCATAGCCTTGACTGCGCTGTTGGTTGCGCCTGATCGCCCGCTCAAGTCAGCCGATTTCGACAACTTGGCGAGTTGCGAAGTTTGCCGGACCGTTTAAGAAACATTTAGACAGAACTGCGTCGTAACATTTCACTCGTGGTCTTCCTAGGCGATACTGAAGAGGACTGCATTGTTTTTTCAAAACCAAAAATGAAGCGGAGTTGCCCTTTAAGCACGTCAGCAGAAGTGAGGTCGAGTCGTTAAGAGTCAGATTGCCTGAGGCTCTGCGGCCCGGGATCCAGACTTCAGCCAGTTGAAGACAGGAGCAAAAGATTCCTGTTAGTACTTCATCGTTAAAAGTTGGAACCGCATTCCCACAAGATAAATCGTGATTTGATAGAACTGAAATGCGGTCCAATCCGAAACCTTGCCGGCCAGCAGCTCTCATGCAAGCGGTAGATCTGCTTGGCATACTTTAACCTTGCTCCTGCTTATCGCCTCGAATATGATAACTACGCTTAATCATAGTCTGCTGCTTCGTTATTGAGTTACACAATAGGATAAATTCGAAATTTATTGCCCTGTTCCTTCGCGCAACTGCACGTTCGTTGCTTGCGCACGTCACGTGATTCGCGCATGTAATTACTAAGACATAAACTGAAGTGCAGTGAAAACTTATCTGAGCTGCTCCTAGCCTGCTCCAGAATGTAGGTTCAGCTGCTCCCGTGGCTCCTCCCAAGTACATTTCATGAGTTCCAACCCTGTACAGATACAGATACCGAAAAATGAAAGTACCTAGGTTTTTATGTCAGGTACAACAAAGGTACCTAGATACCGATTTCGAGTTACTTGTACCTAGGTGCTTTACAACCCTGGCTGAGGCATGTCCTGTTTAAAAAAAAAAAAACTTTAGCCTTGTTGCTTTGCAGCATTGATGCATGCTGCACGTTGTAAGAATGGATAATTTGTTTGTGTAATTAAGCTAAGTGCTTCGGTAACGTGAGCAACAAGAGAAAAGTTTCTGTATCTTTAATGCTCTTACAGCTTTAAGCGATTAAAGTATTAACTCCTTGTCACCTTGAAAATGAATAAAGGCTTGTTTTTTTATCATCTTTATCGGAACACTCAATATTGATAAGGTTCTAACGTATTGCTCTTTTTTTTTTTTTTTTTTTAGCTTTGGTCACAGTTCTTAGGGAACTTGAGTGTATTAAGGCACAGTTGACAAGCATGGCTACAATGTTGGCCAGAATACAGATGCATGTGAATGCTGATGACCCTACTGCCATGGCTGGTCCAGTCCATCCAGAAGACCTTCCAGTCTATCCAGTGAAGACAAGAGAGGAATTTGCCTTCCTGGAGGCTAGCTTAAAAAATGAAGCCATTTTTGCAAAGCTAGTAAGTTTCAAGTTGTTGTGCGTTACAGCCAAAGGTTATTATCCAGAACATACATGTACTGAAATAGTCATTGTTTTTCATCTTTCTTCTGTTCTTTGAGCAAGAGAAGCTTTTATGTGTGGCTTATTGTGGATAACTTTTGATTTCTAGGTGAAAGAGCTTGGCCAAATTGGAGGTAGAGATGTAGCCTCTACAACAAAAACGGTGTTTAAGAAACTTGTCGGAGATGAAGTTGCCGTCTTCTACAACAGAACCGGGCGAAACGGAAAGCAAGAAGCCGGGAAACTGAAGATCTTTAGCCTGATCTATGGTAAGAGTAATGTTTTTGTATCACTGTCTACACTATGGAGAGTAATGTGCTTGCATGCACCCGTCTTTTTTTTTTTTTTATTATTAAGTATTACTTTACAGTGATCGTTATAAAACTTCTGATAGCTGTGCATATTTTTTTCAGCTGCTGTACGTGTAACCCGCAAAACTGCAACAGACGACGAGATGGGCCGCGCCATTGGTGATTGGCTGCGCTTCGCCAACGTCCGGCTCCGTGCTCAAGGCAAGCAACAACCTAATCTTTGCAGGAAGGATACAAATACATTGAAGCTGATGATTAATCTAAAAATCTCCTGAGGCTTACAAAATGAAGAATGTAAACCATGCATGAGATCTGTAACACAGCGAAGAGTTCTATTGTACTATCGCTATACATTGAAATACAAAGAAGAGAGCTTGTGGCTTTCTACAAATGCTGCACAAACTGGCCACGAGCCAGCGAAGCTTGCACATGTGTAGTTCGACCAAGGACACTAGATTAATCTCCAACTCTTGAATGCCTTGACTGGTGCCTGGTGTGTAAGCAGTGTACTGAAAGTTATGCGCTTTGTGTTCATATTGCAATGTATTGCAATAGTACATGCTCACTTGTATCATTGCCCCTCCCAATCAAATGCACCAGCAGAAGCAGTGAGCACAACTACAAAATAACGAAGGAAGCTTTGTTTACAATAATTTCTTATTGGAAAAAAGTAAAAATTGGTTTTCTAACATACAGAATGTAGCAGCCGAATAAGAAAGTTCTGCACTCAGCTTGATTTTCTTTGTCTTGCTTTCCTAGAAAATAGGGCAGTAAAAGTATTTCTGACAGCCGTTTGTGGGACTGATTGTGTGTTGCTATTGGGTGAGGCCAGCTGAACATACAAGATGACAACACAGAGAAAATTAGACAAACACGATGCTGGACTAAACTGTTTAATGGAGTGCATTTTTATTCATTTACACAGGAGCAGGTTGGCCCCAGACGGGGCCAACTGGTTCTTTTGTAAATAAAGTATGTGGATGAAGTTAGTCCGGCATTGTGTTTGTCTCATTTTCTCTCTTCCTGTTTTTGTGCTGTAGGTTCATTTGGCCCCATCGACAAGCGCTGCACCAACAAGCTCAGCTCCGGGTCGTCACAAGGTGTATTTTGTCGCGTGTTTCAATGTTGGTTTGCTTGAGCAGGAGGACTGACAACTACTAGGTACAAGTGACTCAACAACAAATTAAAGGATTTGATAGCATGTTGGTGGGAGTTAAGAAACAAACAAAAGAGAGACACTTATGACAAGAGATGCCACGGGTGTACAGTTCAACTAGCAACATCAATAAACTACCACAAGGCATTATTTTATTTTTGCTAGTTGAGAGATGTACCTGTGTTGTCTCTTGTCATAAGTGTTTGCTACTTTGTTTGTTTTTTGCAATCAATTCACTGTTTTAAGCACTTGAACAAGATTGTCATTTTCTTTTAGTTCGTAGTTATGTGGGAAATCAGGTCAGCCTTTTTGCGGCTCTATATGAACTCTCTTTCCCACTAGGATATTTCTAGTACACCCTAATTTCTTGAGGGGTTTCCAAACCTGCAAACCATTGTCACAAAGCTAAATTTCGAATTAAGCTACACTGTTATGTTTTCCACGTATTATGATCATTTGCCACCTCAAATTTAGTTTCCGGCACTCTGTATTAATTATTTTCTTGTTTTGTTTGCAGCCAGAAAAGTCGAAAACATCCCATCGACAGAAACTGTGGTTTGACTTGGGAAGATGAAAATCAGTTTGTTTCAATTTTTTTTTTTTTCTGTCTAGTCCTGTTCTAGACTTTCTTCAGCCTATTTCATATTCTATTGTCATATTTTACTTTTTAAAGTGGCAATAAGGCTATTTAATGTCTCGACTTCTGTTCTAGTCTAGTGACAGGCTTTACTGTGGTTTGACTTGGGAAGATGAAAGTCTGTTTGTTTTAATTTTTTTTTTCTGTCTAGTCCTGTTCTAGAGTTTCTTCAGCCTATTTCATATTCTATTGTCATATTTTACTTTTTAAAGCGGCAATAGGCCTATTTAATGTCTCGACTTCTGTTCTAGTCTAGTGACAGGCTTTAGTCAGTCCTTTCCGGCTTTTCTTTAATACGATACCGTTTTAGTAATCAAGTTTTTCTAACTGCTTCTACACATGGCAATTGTATATAGTGCCAGCTGGACATAAAAGGATTAGAGAGAGATAAGAAAGACACACCGTTGGACTAGCAACTGTTTAATCAGATCATCTTTTTCTTCATCTACGTTGAGTTTCTCTTCTTTTTTATCTACACTGCATTTGATTTAATTGAGGAGTTCCTTTTCTTCTAGTCTTATACTCGAGCGTCTCCTCGTCTTCCATTTGTCCACCATGGGTGCGGCCCCTCTAAGATACTCACCTTCCTTGTGGTGTAGTGCGATGGAAGGTATACCCACACACTTGTCCGCTTTTGCGTCAATAGCAAAGGCCTCCAGGATTTCTCGAGTGAACTTGTGGCGGTTTCTTGCCAGGATGTTTAGGCTAGAAAAGTCTGGTACACACAGGCACATATGACAATGGGCAGGTAGGTGCTCTGCACGCTGTGGTGGCCTTCACCGAAGCTGCATGTTCTCTCGTCTAGTCACTGATGCACCTTCCCTTCTGTCCAATGTAACATTGACTACATGACATGGGATTTGGTGCACAACCTCCTTCTCACATTTGGTGTACTTGGCAGTTCATTTTCTCCTTGTTGGCCCTCTTGTTTACATGATGAAAAATTGCACACAAAGAGACAAGGGAAAAACACAGAAGTCAGAGAGGCGCATACTCGCAACTCTGGTATATTAAGTGAAGAAAGAAAAGATGAAGCACGATTCATGACGGGGGACATCAACACCAGGGGGTAAACAGTTCAGTCATAGTGAGGTGTTCGCAAAAAGGCAACTTCTTTTTCGCTCAAAGCAACCGACGGCTGACTAACGCAGAGATCGGTCAGACTCAAGATGGTGAACGCATCGAGCACCTCGCGCGTTTGTTTATCATTAAAGTGCCCAATGATTGAGATTTTTTTCTAAAGATGGTGTGCAGATAGAGGTCTTACAATGCACCAAAAGGTTGACCTCATACAGTTTATGATCGTGCTCTCGCAGCCAGTCATTCAAACACTTTCTAGTCTGTCCGACATAGCATCTTCCACAGGGAAGAGGAATGCTGTACACTACGCTCAATGAACGAGGAGTGAAAGGCTGCACATGTTTTTTGTGGCGCGTGTCTTTTTCGCTTTGGCGCAAACCTTAGAACAAATTTGTCACATCTTTTTAGAGGCTGATAATACTACGGGCACACCATACCTACTTACCACTTGTTTTAGATTATGCGATATCTTGTGTAGATACAATCTAAAACAAGTGGCAAGTAGGTGTGCTGTGCCCACAGTAATATCAGCCCCTAAAAAAATATGACAAATTTGTTTAAGGTCTGCGCCAAAGAGAACAAATTATAAAAAACACGTGCCACAAAAAACATGTGCAGCCTTTTTTTTCCTGTTCATCGAGCGTTGTATACAGCATTCCTCTTTCCTGTGGAAGATGCTATGTCGGACAGACTAGACAGTGTTCGAATGACTGGCTGCGAGAGCACAATCATAAACTGTATGAGGTCAACCTTTTGGTGCATTGTAAGACCTCTATCTGCACACCATCTTTAGAAAAAACCTCAATCATTGGGCGCTTTAATGAAAAACAAACGCGCGAGGTGCTCAGGGCGTTCACCATCTTGAGTCTGGCCGATCGCTGCGTTAGTCAGCCGTCGGTTGCATGAGCGAAAGAGAACTTGCCTTTTTGCGAATATTCCTCTGCGACTGAACTCTTAACCCCCTGGTGTCGATGTCCCCTGTCATGAATCGTGCTGTCTGTCTTCTGTGTTCCTTCCTCGTCTCTTTGTGTGCAACTTTCCATCATGTAAACAAAGGGACCAACAAGGAGAAGACAAACTGCAAGGTATCTCACGAGACCAAGCACACCGAATGTGAGAAGGAGGTTGTGTACCAAATCCCACTGTCATGTGGTCAATGTTACATTGGACAGACGGGAAGGTGCATCGGTGACCAGACTAGGGAACATGCAGCTTCGGTGAAGGCCACCACTGCAGCAGGGGACCTACCCGCCCATTGTCACATGTGCCGGTGTGTACCAGAGTTTTCTAGCCTAACCATCCTAGCAAGAAACCGCCACAAGTTCACTCGAGAAATCCTGGAGGCCCTTGCTATTGACGCAAAGGCAGACGAGTGTGTGTGTGTGCCTTCCATCGCACTACACAACAAGGAAGTTGAGTACCTTAGAGGGCCGCACTTATGGCGGACAGATGGAAGATGAGAAGATGCTTGGGTATAAGATTAGAAGAAGAACTCCTCAATTAAATCAAATGCAATGTAGATAAGAAAAAAAGAGGAAGTGAAACTCAATGTAGATGAAGAGAAAGATGATCTGATGAAACAGTTCCTAGTCCAGCGGTGTATGCCTTTCTTATCTCTCTCTCTAACCCTTCTTTTATGTTCAGCTGGCACTATATAGAGCAATGAGCCAACTAGCTCAGCTTCAAGCTTCACCCGCTCTAGTCACCACTTCTACTCAGTTTCAAGCTTGTTTCTGTAGTACATACAGATTTGTCTTAAGTTATTGGCTTGTCATTTTAACAGCTGAGTCTAGCAGCATCCTTACTCGTATGTATATGCTTTTGGTTTAATTTGAAACAATAAATGTTTTAGTACATGTACCTGACTGATTTCATCTTTGCAAGGGTAGTAAATTGCAATTATTTCGTCTCAATATGTGCTGTGATGAAAAGGAGCTTGTTAATTCTAGCGTTTTTGTTAATAGTGTGCAATATTGTGCCTTTCACAAACATTCTTTTCCTCAGTTAACGGACATGCTACGATCAAGCTTCTTCAAAAGGTGCATACAGTCAATTCTCTCCCGTTATGTGTATTGCGCACTGGAGTCCGGTGGTTCATCTTCTGGAAAACATTGCTATGTATGTGAAAAAGGACCTCCTCGAAGACCCAGGACGCAATATTTTGTTGCAAGTCTTAGCTTTTTCAGCCCTCAGAAAAGCCATGTCTGTAGTGAAACACTGCCTGTCGTTGGGTTTCAAGGAGGTTCCTTTCCAACACCCTTCTTTCAGCTTTGACTACCTGCAGTTTTGTTGGTATGCAAGTTTATAAAACATTAGATTCACATCAAAGAAAATGGTACTGCTACACTAGCAGAATATCCACAAAATGTTAGAAAGAACTTTTCAGTTGAAGACAAAAGTATTGTAATCAGACGCAGTTGCTACCCATGCAGTTCGCCTTGTTCACAGCAGAGGCGTAACTGCATGGGTAGCGGTTGCGTCTGATTTATAATATTTTTGTCTTCGTCAACTGAAAAGATCTTTCTAACATTTTGTGGATATTCTGCTAGTGTAGCAGTACCATTTTCTTTGATGTGAATTTAATGTTTTACAAACGTTGCATACCGGTTGTAAAAGTGTTTCTCGAATGTTCCTTCAATGTTAATTTAACGTTTTGCAAACATTAAATTTATGTTGAAGGAATGTTTCCTGTGTGTTCAAATAACGTATGGAAAAACATTAATCTAACGAACAGATAAACATTGTGGAAATATTAAATAAAATGACATTAAGGACATATTTCAAACATTTGGGCCAAACAAAAAAATAACATTATTATAATGTTTTGGTGCTACCTGGGTGGGATGTGTCATATGCAAATTAACCTTCAGCACCAGCATCTTCTTTGCCAAACATATTTTGTCCCTTCATCAGGGAAAGCAACTGGTGCGATAGTTTCGTTTAACCGTGTCTTTCATCTATTCTAGGTTCGGGGCAGCCGAAGCGAAAACAACCGCATCGCCGCGCGGTGAATGATGGTGATTGGGGCGAAGCTCTGGTGGTGCTTGTCTGCGTAGACGCTGAGCCACAGCATGCCGAGCCTTCCGCTCGTTTTCATTCATGTCACGCTGCGGTCAAATGCCCATACCGCACATTCTTCTGATATGGATGAAAACGAACGAAAGGCTTGGCAGGCTGCGGCTCAGCGTCTACGCAGACAAGCACCACCAGAGCTTCGCCCCATCAACATCATTCACCACGTGGAGGTGCGGTTGTTTTTTGCCCTATACGAGCACGGGGGCATGTGCTCACGTGCTCGTGAGCACGAGCACCTGACGCCGGACATCGGATGGACGTACGGACATGGCTAGCCCCTAAGGAGCTTCGCCCCTAAAAAAAAAAAAGGCGCGCTGTCCCACAAGCCCGTTGGCGGGCAAGGCTAAACATAAAACAGCGCAAATAAACGAGGACTAGCTCCACAGGACTAGTGCAGCGTTCGTCCTGTGGTGTTTGTTCCTTTCCTTAGTCCTCTTTGTTTTGCGCTGTTCTACCTATACATGACGTTTAACCAATCATAAACCTGAAATGTTTTGATGTACTGTAGTTGCCCTTGCAATTGCTTGAGCTCCTGTACCATCTGCTCAGCCTTTGAGTTGCCGGTGATGAGGTGCGCTGGTGACTCAGATGATATTCATGCAATAAATCATGGTAACTTAAAGCAGCTCCGTTGCCCAAACACACCTTTATTAACACTTCAATTGTGTCTAACAAAGACCACAAATCCTTGATTACTACGCTCGACGACATGCTGCTATCCCAGCCATTTGGTGTATAACAACCTGAAATGCTTTTCATCACTGAACCAGCAAAGCCTATGTGAATTTCATTCCAGGATGTTGGCCATTCTC